GCCCCCAGACGCAGCAGTGGAGGACAGCCAAGAGCGCTGCAGCTGCCCCACACCGTGCAACTTGACCCGCTATGGCAAGGAGATCTCCATGGTGCGCATCCCCAACAAGGGCTCGGCGCGCTACCTTGCCCGCAAGTACAACAAGAATGAGACCTACATCCGGTGAGTTGCTGGTGCCGGGATGTGCTGGGGGGTGGGCAGGGAGCTGGGGACCTCGGGAACCCCCACCCCGCTCCTGCCAGCATGCAGAGAAAGAGTCCTGCCATGCATGGTTCCTGCAGCATCCTCTGCCCAGGGGTAGCTGTCAACAGAGTATCTCCCTGACTCATTCATAACCTCCCAGCCCTCCTCCTAGCACCTCCCCATCCCATGGTTCCTCCTGGCCTGGACCGTGCCCCTTCTGTGTCCTCACCACACCATCCTGAATAACTAGGAGCACCTAGTAGCTGGAGGGCTCTGGGACAGGGGAGGTTGGGGGTAGGGGTGGTGGAAGTGTCGGTGACCAGCCCTCCTTGCTGACCATTGTGTTGTCCCTACAGGGAAAACTTCCTCGTGCTGGACATCTTCTTTGAGGCACTCAACTATGAGGCCATTGAGCAGAAGAAAGCCTACGACCTTGCTGGGCTTCTTGGTGACTCCCCCAACCTACTCATGGGACCCTGAGGCGGGGAGCTCTGGGTCCCAGACCCGGGAGGATGTGGGGCTGTTCGGGGAGGGACCACAGAGGGCAGGAGCTGGCCACAGACTGGCTGAAGGGTGGCATGCTGTTGGCCATCCCCTGTCCTGCATATACCTTGCTCCCTCTGTCCTGCCATCCTTGCTCCTGTGATTGCGCTGTCCCCCTCCTGCTAGTCCTGGCACTGCCTGCAGCTCTGCTGGCCCACCCCAGGCTCCCAGTGGGCTGCACAGCATGTCCTGGTGACCATCTCCTCCTCCTCCCCAGGAGACATCGGGGGACAGATGGGCCTGTTCATCGGTGCCAGTATCCTCACCATCCTGGAGATCCTGGACTATGTCTTTGAGGTGTGCTGAGCCTTCTGGGCTGTGCCTCAGCAGTGGGAGTGGGTGAGGTGCAGAGCAGGGGCTGGGCTCCCTGGGGAGGGAGTGTAGTGTATGGGCCATCCCAGGAGGGTATGACAGCCCACAAATCAGGGAATGCCCAGCAGGAGGCACTGGGAGGTTCCCCAGTATCCCTCTGTGGTCTGAGAACAGGGAGGTTGGAGGACGGAGGTGCTGTCCCTACCGT